TCATAACTCTCTTACTTAAGCAGCTAACAATTCCTCTTTTGCTGTTCATTCCTGAATACTAACACATAGCACAATCAAAATCCCCTTTCCCTTCAAGGGTGAGTGTCACTGCAAGATTGTCTTGTCACTCGGCTGACTCTGCTGCAGACAGCCTCAGGGCTCATCATGGCTGCCAGTCAGAGGGAAGGTTTGCTTCCCCTACCATTGTGATAGCGCTTCTTATATTTTTGCAGGGTCTCCATGCTGAAAGATGTCATGTGTGAGAATTTTAAGAAATGCGCATCCACATTTTGATGGCGAGAACTGAATATCCGCAAGGACCCTTTCAGAGTTTTTATCCAAACTGCCTCTCCCAACTCTACATCTTAAAGTAACTTCATGCCCTTGTACATAAAACAAAACCAAGCAAAACAAATCCCCAGAAGCCCCCTTTCCCCTTCTAAATTAGTGACCTCATGGATTTTGTTTTATTTCCAGTTTGTGGGAAATGTTGTAGCGATCCTTCTGGTAAACAGGAGGTTGGCAACAAACAGAAATACCTCTCCTCACACTCCACCAGCTCATAAGCAGGTCAGATGAACCTGCCAGCCTGCTGGTATCTGTGTACTAAGAGGATGTGGTACCTTGGAGGGCTCTGGTTTGGTACAAGGGAGACTCCCTGTTGCCAGGATAAGCACTTGCCACGTGAAATTCAGGCTCATAAAAACTCTCCTGTGCTATCTCTGACCCAAATTTTAGCACCAGTTTTTTTCACTTTCTAGGATTCAAACACAAAGGAACCAGTGTCCAGAGGCAAGCGACATAGGCCTTAAACTTGCTGCCATCCTTAATTTCCTCATTCATAAACTTTCCTTAGAAAACCCGAACCCCCATTCCTCTTTTTAAATAGATTCCTGCCTTCAGCCCCGATGGCCAATAGCAGACATCTATTTCCCAATGGATGAGAGAGACTCCTTCATCTTCTTGGTCATGGTTGGGATGAGGTTCATGTGGTCATCCACACACTTGGTCACACAGCTCTCCAGCTGCCGTTTCACCTGAAGCTCTTTACTCCCCGCATCTATTGAATCTTTGGCATTGTTGTTGCAATGCATAGTGCACCGGGCCAGGCTGTCCTGGAACTTCTCCAACTCGCTGGTCACCAGGGCCTGGGCTTGAGCCAGAGGTGCATGGCAGCGCTCAATGCACTGGTGCACTTGCTGCATGGACGCCTGGCTGTCCTCACAACAGCCGGCGCTGCACCAGTACGTGAGGCCCTGCATCTTCCAGATGTTCTCTCTCTCCAGGCTCTTCATCATAGAGTCCACCGCCTCCTGCGCGCGGAGCTGCTGCAGCTCCGCCATGGCAACCCCGCGCTGCTTCCTGTCGCGCCGGCGCCCACATGGACTCCCGCGCACGAGCCCCTATTAATATTATTTTAAAATAGGTATGTAAAAACTTTCTGTTTTAATTTATATTACAGTAAATGTTAATAGCTAAAATCCACATCACAAAGGGTGTAAAGGGGTCCTGAGAACAATGATTTGGGAAGCACTGATCTAGAGTACCATAAATTGCAGTATGGGCACTGCAAACGATCTCTTCAAAGCAAATATGGGCTATTTCCTTTCCTCATTTAAAACAATAATCATTACATTTGGATAGTGTTTTGTACCCAAAGTGCTTTTATATGCATCAACGAATTAATCTTTTGAGTAATCTTATAGGTCAGGTATTGTTTTCTCCATGTTATTAAAAAGAAAAGAAAAGAAAAGAGGTCCAGAGCAATCAGGCAGTTTATCTTAGGTCAGAGAGACAGTAAAATAATGAGATTTGACCTAAGATTTTCCAATTTTAAATTTCATCATATTTTTGAAATACTACCATATAGGTTCAGAAACTGTTAGAAATTATTAGCATGTGAACAATTCAAATTATCATCAGTTTGAAAAAGGGGTTATTAAATTACTTTCAGGTGACCAATATTAAACTCAAATATATTTTCAAATCATATTGGGTTTGAGTTATGCTCTTTATGTTGACATGCAGATTATTTCAAATTCCGAATTAGTAATATCTAAATGAATGGTTTTTAAAACCTCTTTATATCTGTTCATTGTATTAGCTTTAACTATGAGAAACTGTCAATATTCTCTCTTTTTTTTTTTTTTTTGCGGTATGTGGGCCTCTCGCTGTTGTGGCCTCTCCCGTTGTGGAGCACAGGCTCCGGACGCGCAGGCTCAGCGGCCATGGCTCACAGGCCCAGCCGCTCCGCGGCATGTGGGATCTTCCCGGACTGGGGCACGAACCTGTGTCCCCTGCATCGGCAGGCGGACTCCCAACCACTGCGCCACCAGGGAAGCCCTTCTCTCATTTTTTGACATAAAAATGACAACTTCATGTGGCTCAACTTAATGCAATTTTGAAAACACAGAAGATTAATGAAATCTTTTAAATTAGGTTAAAAATTATATAAAAAGTATGAAAAAGTATAGACTGAATAAAAAGACAGCCTATGTAAAAACCCCAAGTCCTAGTCCCATACCCCAGCATTCTGAGATAACTGCTGCCAACAATTTCCTGTATATCGTTTTACAAATTGTCCATGGACACACAATCATACATATATCTGCTAAAACATACACACAAGTGGAATCATACTAAACAAACTACTCTGCAAATTGCTTTTTTTGCTTAATATGTTTGGATATCATTTCATTTGATTCATATATGTAGTTCTATTCCTTTTTTAAAGTTCTATTAATCTATTAGAGGATGTACAATAATTGACTACTGAATTTAAAAAATATTGACAATAATATATCCATACGGTAAAATGCACTAATCTTAAAATTTATTTTCTGCATGTGTATATACATGTGCATGTACATTAATTTCTACATGTATATGTATACCTGTGTAACTGCCACCTATATCGAAGTATAGAATATTCCCAGCATTCTAGAAGACTCCACCAAGTTGATTTTTGGGAAGGAAGAAATTTTCCTCTGTTTTTCTAGGTTCTTCTGACTGGTCTAAGAATTAAATTGACATGAGACATACTAACAGGAGAAAATCACACAGAAGTTTAATAACATGTTAACATGGGAGAGACCCAGAAAAACTGAGTAACTCTTCAAAATGGCTGAAGCCCTCATCTTAAATACCATCTTCAGCTAAAGACAAAAGAGAATGTTGGGAGTAGTGGTTTGGGACTTCAAGGGGGTGGAATGCAATTTACAGGGAGATGGAAAAGCAAAAGTTTGGTAAATAAATGTTTGCTGGGCCATACAGAGACAATGGGACACAGGAATTTTAACAAACAGACTTTGCTAGGTTCTTCCCTGTCTGTACACCTAGTTCATATTACAGTTATCTATGGTGATCGCTCCTGTCCTGGAACAGGTCCTCCAGCTACATTCTTTAGGCAGTTAGGGGGAAGGTCAAAGATTTCTTCCTGAGTCTTTTGGGCCTTGATTGTTTTCAGCTCAAAATAATCCACATACCGGAGAGACCTTTTGGGGGGCAAATTTTGCTCCCCAGCTGTTCCCAGCCAATACCACCCCAACCCAGCCACCATTATTCTGATTTTTATCAACATAGTTTGATTTTGTCTGTTCTTAATCTTCATATAAATAGAATCATACTGTACGTTTTTGGTATGTGAGTGCCTGATTTCTGTTGCTCAACATCAGTTCTCTGAGATCAATCCACATTATTGTGTGTAGTAGTAGTTTGTTCCTTTTTATTGCTGTATAGTCTTTCATTGCATGAATTTATCCATTCTACTGTTGATAGATATTTGGTTTTTTATTTTTAAAGTTTTAGATGTTATGAATAAAGCTTTCATGAGTATTCTTTACACGTCTTTTAGTGGACATAAGCATTCATTTTATTTGGTATATTTTACCAAATGATAGAATATACCAAATAAAATATTCCAATTTATTTTTTGATGCTTTAGGAACTTTTGTGTTAACCTTTTAAATATTAATGATTATTGCAAAAGTGCTACAGATGGTCTAAACCTGGGATGACTCTGGAAGTTTCTTTTAAAAATAAATTTTTGCTATCATGTGATTCTTACCATTTGAGAGCTTAAATTAATGTTTTTAAATCAATATTTTACCTAATTCAGATCTTTTAAATAAAACATTATTTCAGTAGCATATCATAAGTAAAACAAATAAAAATTGAGAGTACTATATCACTTCATTTTTACCAAAATGACACTCAATAGTAATTTTTAGCAAATTATTTTTTTGGTTTAATCTTTAAACAAACTACAACATTTAGAATAAACTTAACAAACTTAACTTACAACTTCCAACAAACTAACAAACAAACTTAACATTTAGAACAATCTGACATTATCACCTGTGTCTAAACGTAAACATGGTTCTGGTTATTCACTGCTTGAAACTACAATTATTAATAAATTAATATTACTGGAAGTAGGTTTATTAGTATGGTTTCTTTCTTTTGATTAAATACTGAGTGACCGAAGTATATTTTTAAAGTAAAGTATCACCTGTGGTAATTTATGGATGGGGAATTTTTAAAAACACTGGAAACCATACATTGCTCTCATGCTCTAGGTGTTTATATTAAATTGCCTACTTGACACCTCTGCTTCAACATCTGGAACTCAAGAGTTCTAAAATGGAATCCTGACTTCCCACCCCTTTCTAATGTACTTCTCTCCTCTCCCCACTTCCCACCTGTTCCTCTTCCAGTCTTCCTCACTTCAGAAAAAGGCTCACCCAGTTACACGTTGCTTAAGCCAGAATCCCAAGCTTTATTTCGGATTCCTTCCTCTTCTTACATTCCACCCATCAGGGAGTTCTGTCATTTCTCCCTCATAACCATCTCTTATTTCTGCTCTCCTTCCCCTCCTCAGTGCAACAGTAGCCCAAGCCACCAGCTTCTCTTGCCCAGCCCTCCAAAATAATCTCTTTTCTGGTGATGGTGGTTTCACTTTTTTTTTTTTTGGCTGCGCCACAAGGCTTGTGGGATCTTAGTTCCCTGACCAGGGATCGAACCTGGGCCCAGGCAGTGAAAGTGCCGAGTCTTAACCACTGGACCACCAGGGACTTCCCAGGTGTTTTCACTTTTGACACCCTCTGTCTGTTCCCCACAGAGCAGTGAGAATAATTTCTAACAACATAAATCAATTTTATTCTCCTGCTGACAACTCTTACCATAACATCTGAGAAAGAAATTCAACTCATTACCATGGCCCACTAATCCAGAGTAATGTGGCATCTACTAACCTGTCCCACCCCATCTGGTGCCATTAAGCTCTAGCTACGTGGCCTCCTTTTAATTCCTTGAGCTTGTCGTGCAAGCCCTTTCCCACCTCATCCCTTTTCACATGCAGTTTCCTCTCCTTAGGAGACTCCCTACCATCTCACATGGTTTGCTCCTTCTCAGCATTCCATTCTCAGCTTAACTCTAACCTCCTTGGAGTGGCCTTTCCTTATCACCTGATCTAAGTAGCCACTATCTTCTATTCTCCTACTCTATTTTTTAAGTAGCACTTACCCCAAATTGTAAATATATGTGTATTTTCTTATTTATTATCTTCTTTGTTGCATCAGTTAAGATTTGGTTCAACTGCCAACCAAAATACAGTGGCTGGAAAAGATAGTGGTTCATTTTTCTCTCATATAAACGAAGTTTAGAGATAGGTAGATCAAGGTTAGTATGATAGCTCTATGATCCTAAGAGATCTAGGTTCCTTCTCTCTAGCTGCTCCACTGAATTCATCATGTGGCTTCTACCTCACAGTTCAAAGTGGTTGCTCAAGCTCCAGACCTCATGCTTTTATTTCCTCCATCAGGAATCAGGAAGGTAAATGTGGTCTTTATGCAAGGTGGGGGAGGTTGTAAACACAGTTAAAAGTCATGAGTTCTTTAATGTTGGTTCAAGCAAAGATTAGCAATTGGTATTAAAACTATTTTAGGTAAATGGCTGATGAGAAAAGGACCTCCATAAAGTGCCCCCCAAAACTCTACACAGATTTCTTTTTGTCCATGAGGAGAAAAAAGTAGCTTTATAGTGGAGGAGTCAGGCCGTCATCAGTTTAACCCAGTACCATAGTCAAATATGCTGTGCCTCTTGATGTGACTGAAGTACACAGTACCACCTGTGATGTAATCTTGCCAAAAACGTTTGAGTCTAATTGGACCTTTTGTTATAACTTCCAGTTTTACAGGAATTACAAGGAAAAGAGAAATGAACTAAATGATACCCTGAGGAAGCAATCAGACAGATTGAGGAATTGGAACAATTGTCACTGTCTCTGTCTCTTTAATATTTCAGTATCATGAATATAGGGACTAATTTATTTTAAGAAGACAGGGAACATAACAACTAGATGTGATGTGTGGTCCTCAATTGGATCCTGGTTTGGACTAACCACCTATAAATGGCATTGTGTAGAAAAGTGGAGAGATGTCAATGTGGGTGGGTATTAAGATATGATATACTGTTAAGGAATTATTAATAATCAGCTGTGATTATGTTATTTTGGCCATGGAGGAAAATGTTCTCAATTTAAAGGATGCATATTAAAATTTAGGGGAAGAATGATGACTTCTATTTACTTAAAATTCTTCAGCATAACAAATTGGGGGTTTATTTCTCAAGAAGAAGGGGATAATGGATACTGGGGGCCAACAAGAAGTCCACCACTAGACTGTAAGCTGTATGAGGGCAGGGACTATGCCTATTTTGCTTCCCACTCCATAACCACTGTGTAACGCAGGGCCCAGCATGGAGTAGGCCCTTCATATATATTTTTTAAATGAAGGAATAAATGAGTATGGGAAAGAAATGCAGAAATTACCCATGACTTCCACTAACACTGAAAATTCAGCAGACATCGCTTAAGAGATCATGGTACTTGAAAAATAAGTACAACTGAAACATAACCATGTGGTATAATTGTAATTAAAAAGATAAGGACAACTATAAAACTTCAAAAAAAAAAACCCCAAATCCCAAAAGGTAGAAAACATTAAAATGGTAAAATAATAATGAGCAGGTATTATTAATTTTATTGCCCTGTACCTATTTCTTTTGGAGTCCAGGACATTGAACTGGCATTTTGTAATAAAAGAAAAATAACCAAATATGAAAAACTAAATTCCACGTGTTTTTCAGGAGATTGTTAGAAATTCAAGTAGATATTTTTCTTCTCCTTACTCCCCACCTTCTCTCTTCTTCCTACTCCTGCAATAGTAAGATAGCCAGTTCTCTCTTCTTCCTACTCCTGCAATAGTAAGATAGCCAGACACCCACTGAAACAGAGCAAGACCCTGCAGGGCCTTCCCAGGGACAGACCCTCAGTGTCCCCTAGTTTGTAAAAAAACTTTAGCCTCCTAGGCCTTCCCTGAATTCCAAAGAGCAAATTTAATCAAAGGAGTGAAAAAAACAAACAAAAAATCCCCCAAAACACCAGCAGAAACAAAGGAAAACAGTCAAGCAAGACAAAATAATAATAGTTCAGCCATAAAAACAAAGTCAAGGACCTTTAGTTCCTCCTCAGGGGCTATAGATAATATCCTGAGCCATATCCTTGAGTTGTTTTGCAGATACTAAAACTCCCACCAGATAGAAGAAGCTAACTGCATGATGACCATGAGCATGTAGTCCCCAGATGCTGGAGCCTGAGGATTGATAACACTGACCCCTGTAACATCACCCTGTTACCTCACCATCAACCAATCAGAAGAATGTCCACAAGCTGATCAGGCAGCCCTCGACCCTCTTCCTCACCTTGCCTTTAAAAATCCTTCCCTGAGAGCCATTTGGGAGTTTTGAGCAGTAGCTATCCATGTGTCTTGCTTGGCCTTGCAATAAACACTGTACTTTCCTTCACCATAATCTGATGTCAGTAGATTGGCTTTATTGTGCTTTGGGCTGGTGGACCCAAATTGGGTTTGGTAACACCATTTGCTGGCTGTATCTCCTACTGATTAGCCAAACACATTCCAGGAGAGTTTTCTCCTTTCTGGCATCTTTAATTGAAAAGTAATAATTAAATTTTTACTATATGTATGAAGTTATTTTTTAAAAAAGAAAAAAACTGATTAAGTCTAAATCATAGATCTTATTCTCAGGGGGTCAGGAACAACACAGATAAAACAAAAGTAAAAAACGCCAAAAATACCTTATTTTTCCCTCGTGCTTTACAAAGAGCTTTGAAAACCAAATTTCATTTATTCCTGAAATGATACCTTGCTGCAGGCTGAATAACAAGAGATTAATTGACTTGCTCAAGGTCCTCTCCGTAGTTAGAAATCTGGTATCAGAAGCCTTGTTTTCTGACTGTCCCACGTCTCTTATGTATGGCACTACCTTCTGAAAGCCAAAACTTAAGACCAGCATTGCATTTTTGACTCTGCAGTGTGCCAAGGACAACTAACTGAGCTACCTTATGATTGAAGTACATTTTGACTTAGAGATGATTTCTAAAGCTTTCTGTGGGATTTTTTTCCCCATTTTTCTTAGCAACCACGAAGCACCACTTTATTTTCTCTGTTCTCCTGGCTGAGCTCCTGCAGCTGCACCCAATGTGATCATCCAGAGAGAAAGAAAACCTCCAACTACCATGAATCGCGCTTAACCCAATAGGAGAACATTGCGGATTCTACTAGGAGAACCTCAGCTAAAATTTCCTCCACACAGCAAAGCTGTGAAATGCATGCCAGCTGAAAGTGGCTGGTAGCTGGCATGTATACCGTAGTAATCCCTTAGGAGTAGAAAAGAATCTGTGATTTTGAGTGGTGCATTTAACATTATCACCACCTACACATTCAGTTAAAAGCTGTTCATGGCTGAAGAGAAACCCCTGATTCCCTCCCACGTCATATCTCAGCTTCGTTTTGGTGTGAGCTGTGGGCGGCTTAATCAAGAATGTTTGTACCCTTTACCCAGAGCAAACATTCCCATAGTGCAACACTTGTAGGTTCCATAAAATAGAAAATCAATTTAGTAATATTTAATAATAAGTAAATAATAAAAATATAATAAATCAAAAAAATATCTTCCCTGACTTTCCCCTCTCCTTTATCCCCTGTATATCACTAATCAGCCCCTGAGGTCTCTCCATTTTTTTTAAGTCCCTCAAATATATTATTTATTTCCACTCTACCACCCTTGTTTAAGTCCTTTTCATCTTTAGTACTACAAAAAAAACCCAATGAAATACTCTTACTACCCGTTTTCCCTTCACTTTCTCCAAGTTATTCTTTTCATGTTCCAGATAGTTTTATTGAATCAAGTTCTTTTCCAGCGCAAACATACAATGACTTGTAAAGCCTTAACTGCTCTGACATTCCAGGTCCTCTAGAATATGGTCTCCCCTTACCTATGTGACCTTATCTTCCTTTCCTAATAATAATTATTATTATTTCCTAACAACAATAATAATTGCTATTAATTGAGTACCCAAATCGCAGATTCTGTTATGTGCTGTCCCTGTTCAATTTGCTAACGCACACTCTTGCTCCAGCTAGTCCTGTGTCTGTATGTCCCACGTCGGCTTTGCTCTTTTCTATAGTGTGCTCTATTTCTATATCTTCTATGACCCCAATTTCTACTAACTAAGATGTTTAATACCACCGTATGATTATTTAGTCATTTCAGGTATGTAAATTTACCTCCTGTAAGTTGTAATATATTGGCAGACATGGATGGGCTTCAAAGGGTGCATGAACCATTTAAGAGAGTATGTTTTGCATTTGTGCATTTTTTTCCTAGGTCAGGAGATCTCATAGGATCCCAAAGAGGTCCATTGAGGGGGTTGAGTTACTCTCTGGATACCAAGCCATACTGTCAGTCATTCCTACTTAAACATAGGAAATATATATCTTATTGCATACCCTATGATCCTGCACCGTAAAAAAACTTCTAGCTAAGCTGCATGCGCCTGAGTTTTTTTTAAAATTAATTTATTTATTTATCTTTGGCTGTGTTGAGTCTTCCTTTCTGTGCGAGGGCTTTCTCTAGTTGTGGCAAGCGGGAGCCACTCTTCATCGCGGTGCGCGGGCCTCTCACTGTCGCGGCCTCTCTTGTTGCGGAGCAC